TGGTCGGCGCTAGCTTGTCACAGTCATTTGACCGGTATGATTGGGAGTGTTGCACTGTATGGTAAACACTGGTTATTTCTGCTGCTGTTACCTTGTCTGAGTGGCCATCATTTTTTGGTTTGAGTAGGAATGTCTCCATAGAGTGGGATGTCTCTTTTTGAGCGACACGTTTCTTTGTGAGAATCGCATTCTCTGTGTATTTTGACGTCGTATTCACCGCCATGTGAAATTGAAAAATTACTCTTGCAAAGATTGCAAAAAACTCTTGAGAGTCGCCCTGCACTGGCTTCACCCACGGGTAAGTGTCTTCCCAGTCTTTGTTGTATGTGCATCTTCTTTTCTTCTTAGCTGTAGTTTCAGTTTCCTCCATTTTCCATAACCTGCTGCGTTATTGACTTTCGTTGTTGCTGTTGGCGGGGCCGCGGGGGGGTGTGTGTGAGTGAGTTACTCTCATTGGTTAACACCTGACCAGCACCAGCCGTGTGTTAGTTTGATTGACAGCAAACACAGCCCTGTGATGATAGCCTTCCCTGCTTTCTCAACAGCCATTGGATAAATCTGATTTTAGAAAAGCGTTTTAGCCAATCAAAATGAAATATGCGGGACATCGTCTCAATTTGCGGGACGCACCAAAAGTCGTGAAATGCTGTGCAGTCCCGCACAAAGCGGGACAACTGGTCACCCTAGATGTGATCCAAGTAGCTCTTGGCCACTTTCATTTTTTTCAAAGTAGATCTCAGATGGAGAAAGGTTGAAGACCCCTGCTCTAGGCTATATTGTATTACAATATTTTCAGCTGCTGGGTCCTTGGATCTGATCCAATCAAAATTGAAGAAGTAGTTCTGACTGCTGACACTCTACCAGAAATTGCGGGCATCTTTATGCCAACTAACAGCCCGTCACCAGCAGGTTCTGCACAGCCAAGTCCTGAAGGATACCTTTTGCTGCAGCCAAGGCCACCTTAATGCACAGGCTGACCTGGGCCCAAAGGAGATCAGGGGCCTATCATGAGCCAATAAAAAAATGCATTGCTTGTAATTCGTCAAGTGTTCTGTCCATCATTTGATCTGAATGTATGTGGCTGGTGATTGAAACTATTTATAACACACACCCCGTGGGCACCACTCAAAAGCCAATATGAATGTGTTTGACATGTGACTTATTCAAATGCGAGTGATTGAATGACAAGACGAAGTTTGTTAGCTAGCTAGGTGATAAATATTGGAGAAGAAAAAGTTTGAGAGTGGCGCTCGGAAAAGGAAATTGTTGAAATGAAGAAAGGAGTTTCGTGACAAGCAATTATTTAAAAAATGTCAAGCTTACAGTTTTTTTTTTTTAAACCTGTAGGCCAGGATGAGGAGGAAGGACAGACAAGTTCTGTACCGAGCACCAGCGGTGCCGGCCGTGGGGCCTCGGAGCTGTAAGAAAATAAAATCAATGTGTTTCAAGAGTATTAAATAAATGCACAGTTTTATTTTGAAAAACTTTATTTTTAAGGAAGCCGGATGTTTACAAATACGTCACTTCCGGTTTCACATAGTCTTTGTTTTTAGCCGTTAGAATGTAGCTAACAGAATGTTATGAATGAGAATATAAGGAGGAAATGACTTGTGGAGTTACACAATAAACACACAACGTCTAATCCTCTTTTTTGACGCAATATTAATCACAGACGTACGAAGCCGAGAGGGAGACACGCCTCTCGTCGAAGCAGCCAATGAGAAGAAGACCACAGAATCAGATATATTCGAATGCACGGCGAAATCCGGTCCTCTTCATCTTCTGCATCACAGCGCTGTGATAACTTGTTGCTTGATCCACTACAACGTACGTCTGGTTCTGATAGCGATGGAGAAGCAGGAGAGGAAAAACAGACTGCGCTCAAGCATGCAGCAGGACCGAGTCAGTAACCTCACACTGATGTCCATTGAGCATGACATTCTTCGTGAGTTGGATTTCAAGAACATTATAAAGGCTTTTTCTTCTCTTCAAAGAAGACCAGACGAAAGCACTTCTAACAGGGATGTAGTGCTGCCGGAGCGCACCAGAACACCGCTCCGGCAACTTAAAAAAATTGCAGTACGCATAAGGAGCCGTACACATGCCGCGTTTCTTGTGTGGTTGTGTCTTTAGTTGAAAGCCCAGTGGCGATCTGTTCATCTGTCATATTGATCATACAATAAAGCCATCGAAAAATAATATGATACAGTAAAGTTCAAGTACTTCCTGGGTCTTAATTTGTCATTCAAAATCGGCTCTGTGTGTGGCACGAGCGCATTGTGAGTGAGCGAGAGAGAGAGAGCGTGCACCGGTTACGGGGATTGTTGTTGTTAGCATCCTGTGCTAGCTCGGAGCTAACGGATATAAGGAGCTGTTTTCTACAACAAGGTGGAGGAGAGCTCTCTCCTGTCAGACTGAGATCTCTGATAACTACAGCTCAGTGAGGAAAATAACTCCTGTGAGAAAGAAGTGCTTAAATAGTTAACTTCAGTCTAAGTAATCTCAGTGGGTCTAAAACGGTTTGGTCACCATTTATGTAAGCAAGTATTTGCAAAGCACACCATTATATGATCATTATAGTTAAAAAAACAAAACAGAGAATAAATGAAAAACATGATCACATGGATAGGATACTAAATACATTTGCCAATCTCAGAAGACACCGCCACTCTCAGGACAAGAAGTGCACGCTAAGAATGACAAAAATAAAATCGCCTTTCTCTGTACAGCGCCACTTTCCGAACAGGAAATGCACGCTAATACAATATTTTATATTATTAAGGTACAGCGCCACTTTCCGAACCATTAATTAACCTGTTAAACCCCAAGCCTGTTTTTCAGGTCTCAGGCTCGAAAATGACATGCCCAGAACAAATGACTATATCTTCACTTCTAAAAAGGGGTAAATGAATCATCTTTTTTCTCAAAGCAATGATACACCTGTGAGTTGGATGTAGAAAAGTCAGAATCATATAGATCTTTTTATTTTAAAGTAAATTCAGATTGAACATAGTAAAAAAAATAATTATAGTTTCCGTCCAAAAAATAAACATTACTTATAGTGAAAACCACCCTTGAATGATGGGATATGAAGATCTGTTCTTTGTTTCCAAGTCCAGGAGAAAGTAAAAAAAGGAGACGAATGGAGTCTCGGAAAGTTCAAAAGAGTAATTTAATAAAATAGCGTTGTATTGGATCAAACAGGCAGTCAACACAAGCTAGCTGTGTCCCAATTCAGAGGCTGCGTCCTCCTGAGGACCCAGCCTCTGAATTCCGCAGAGGACTGCGAAATGAGACGGTCTACGGAGCATTTCCTGGTACGTCACCGGCAGTTACTGCCCCTACCTTTTGCCTCCCCCGTCGCCTAGCAACCAGCTGCAGTCACAAGCATAGATATATATAAAGGCTAGATGGCTCAAGGAGGAGTGGCCAGCGTAGCTCACCGGTGGCCATCTTGCCACAGTCAACCGCTACTCTGGTACGCTCTATGGTAGCTGTTGTAAGGTGAGTGATCTGCACAAAAATACTCTTAACTCGCTGAAATCTTGAATGATTTACAAACGGTTTTGGTTTATTATAAACGTTATTAGCATCCCTGCTGAAAAAACCAGCATGGACCAGCATGGTGTTGACCAGCATGGACCAGCCTATGTTGTGTTTTGGTCACCAGCATGGTCCACCAGCATGGACCAGCATGGACCACCAGCATGGACCAGCATGGACCACCAGCATGGACCAGCATGATCCACCAGCATGGACCAGCATGATCCACCAGCATGGACCAGCATGGACGTCCATGCTGGTCCATGCTGGTGGATCATGCTGGTGGATCATGCTGGTCCATGCTGGTGGATCATACTGGGGACCAGCATAGTATGCTTGTTTGCTGGTCACCAGCATACTAGCATAGACCAGCATACAAGCGACCAAAACACAACATATGCTGGTTTTGCTGGCATACCAGCATTTATCTATCACCAGCTTATGTTAGTATTAAATATACAATGTATTCTGGTAACTATCAAAATAAAGACATTGTATTGTGTTCATAACAGTATTTTTATTTAATAAATTATACATTAACAATACAATAATATTAAAAAAAAAACCCTACATCTAAATAAATATATCATCTAAAATAGATGCATTTGATTTAAAAATAACAAATATAATTCAAAATGTAAATAGCAACAAAGAAATTATAAAAAGAAATGTTTAAAGTATTTTTTTCTTTTTCTTGTTAATATCCATTATCTTCTCTGTTATGTATCTTCCGGTCTTTGCCAATCTGGCCAGCATTTCTTGGTCCTCCACGTCTTTCTCGTACAGCCATGCTTGAAAGCAAACTGAAAATAAGAAACAACAATGTTTTAACAAATCGTATTAAATTATGTGATGACAGAACTGTAAACAGGATAGCTGAAACTTTAACAAAATAAATAAACTCCGTTACCTCTAATCATTAACCCATGTTTGTATCATTTAGTTAACTCCGTGTGTTTGCTGCTAGCATACATAATATATACCTGACGTGGAAACGTTACTTGTGGATGGGGCTATAGAGTTACTAGAAATTAATTTATTAATTATAATAAAAACGTAGCTCAAGCATTTATGCAACTTGATTTGAAGCGTGTGTGTGTGTGTGTGTGTGTGTGTGTGTGTGTGTGTGGTGTGTTCGGACCCGGTAGAATCTAGGGGCGGGGTAATGCGAGGGAAAGGAGGAGGTGAAATATTAAATTGAGACGAGCCTCACTATAGTGTCTCCCCGTCCAATCCCCCCCCCCTCCCCGTCCACCCAGTAAAAAAATTGTGTGTGTAAACTGCCCCGCCCCCTCGCACACAGACAGGGGAGAGAGATCTCTCGTCTGGATTGGAAAGATCGAAAATAAATCATAGACGCATTTTGTAGTCTTTTTGCATATTAGACAGTAAGACTGCGATATAATGTTTGTGTAGCAATAATACATATGACATCTATTTTTTTAACGTCTCCATTACCGATAAAAAGATCGTTAACGTTGGACCTTAACGGTACCACGGTCTTTAATAATTCATCCCTGGGGCCCCGTTAATACCGGGGCTTGGTACCCATCCCTAGTTTTAATTATTACATCATCAATATTAAATTTCAAATAACCAAGAACTTGGTATCTCACAAAGAGCAAGTGGCTAGTGCTGCTAAGAACATACCTTTCAAACCCCATAGCTTCTGCAGGGTTAGAGGCTGCCTGGTGGTCTTGGTGGTGGGGCATTCCTTTCCAGTCAGGCTCCTTTCCCCTAAGGTGTCGGTGCCCCAAAACGCCACAGCCAACTCCTTCACGAACATGGCGTCCCTTGTGTTGTTTTTTATTTTTGCCCAGACCTCTGGACGCACTGGAATCTCCCCTTGCAAGTGAATGACAACAATCTGAAACATAAAATGTGTACAGTAGCCTATACATAAAAGGTAGACACCAATATGAGACTGAGGAGCAAAAATAAAAAGGCTCCACTATGGAAATAATATATACCTTCCCATGTGGCTCGCTCTTTGAAGGGGGATTATTGGGGTGTGTGGGTGTCCAGGGTGCAGGCTCACACTGTGTCTCAGATTGTTCTTCTACAGAATGTGAATAAGACAAAGAAAGGACAAAAACATTTCAACAATAGTATAAATTCATATGCGTATATCTTGATGGGCTGATTGTTTACACATTTCACTGCCATCTTGTCTGTTTCTTTTATTGCAGTTGCTGATGAAAGTTAAAATGCAAAATCGATCCAAGACTGTCATTATTATTTGCTTGCAATTTAAAAACAAATGTACTTACTTTGTGAAAATACCTGGTTAATAGTTTTATCCAAATACATTTTTAGATTTGCTGTCCTGTAGGTGGCGACTTTCCCCTTCCAGCTCAGATCTTTATAATGTAATGAAAAATAAAATGATCAACAAAACAGCCTTTTAGCCTACCACCAGTCAAATCTGTTGTTACCCTATGACTGGTAAAAACACAAACATTAAATGTACCTTCTGTATTAACCGTCTAAAGATTAGTTCCTGTTGTAATTGTGCAGCTGTATTATCTGGGAAATAGAAGAATCGGATCAGGATTCGGTATTGGCAGACAATCAATATCAAATGACTCGGATCGTTATTAGCATCAGCACTTGATCACTTGTCTACTTGCAGCCTAAATACAAAGATAACTCCACTCCTCTCCTAACACTGCTTACCTCTATTAAGCCTTGGTAGAACTAGTGTCCTAGTCATAGGGTCCAGGACTGACTGAAGACATGTGGAACAGAGTCCCAGACAGGCATCGTTTGATGTACAGGAAACTGGAACTTTGAACAGGTGTTTTCATCTTTTCTGCCTGAAGATTCACAAGTTCTTGATCAGGTGTTTGATGTGGGCTGGCATGATCCTTTCTGCAGCGATAAATAAATAAAACAAAGAAAACATTGTTAATAATAGCAATGATGGTAACAACAATAATATTAGTATAACTATTTATATAGCACTTACACAATTGCAAAGTGATTCTCACTACAAAAATAAAGAACAAACAATATCATCAATACAAAAACTAAGCATTAAAGAAGTTCAGTGACAAACATCCTCTTAAGTAAAAGACCAAATCATGTCAAGCTTTAAATATTTCAGTCTTTGCAATGCACTGTTGTAAATGACATTCCAAAGGCTAAATTCAAACAAAAAGATAACTGGGTACCAAAGTGCTTTACCTGATACTGTAGAACACGTTCCACACGGAGCAGCAACCATCCGGCTGGGCCTTTTGCTGCATATCATCTTCTCCCTCTCCACTGTTTCCAGTAGATCTTTACTGCCTCTTTCCAATAAAACAGAAATGCCCCAAAAAATCATATTAAAAAAGTTAAAAACAATAACTTACTTTTGGCATTAAAATGGATTTGAATCTCACCTTTTTCCTGGATGTCAGGAAGGCCAGGAAGTCGTTCCCTTCAAGTCCACAACCAGTCTTCTCTTTCTTTCACCCTCCGAAAATCTCCCAGCATGCACCAGGAAGAAGAAGAAGAGGAAGAAGCAGAAGCAGAAGATGAATTTTTCAGAACATTTTCCTTAAAAATAAGAAAAACATACCGATTTCTTTTTTAGAGCATCCATTTCTGTGGATTCCCCTTCACAATGATCAAAATCAACAAAATCTTCTTGGATCCTTGGAACTCTGATTCGTTTTGGAGGATTTGATGTTGAGTCCTCAATCTCTTGGGTTTCTGTCAAAAGGTAAGTGTAAGTGAAGCTAACGTTAATGTTTAATGTCCATGGTAATGATTTTACCTTACTTTAATTTCGGTAGTTTACGTCAACGTAACGAGTATGCCGTTAAAGTAAGCGGCTTATTCTAACGTTAAAGTAAGCCAACGGCTTATTCTAACCGTTAGAGTAAGCCATCTTAACGTACTAGTAACGTATATATATATATATAGGCTATATATATATAACATATAATATATATATAAATATATATATACGGCTTATAAGTCTGCATACTCTAGCCGTTAGAGTCTAACGGTTAGAATAAGCCGTTGGCTACTCGCATATTAATTATTAATGTTAAGGTAGCCTAATTATTCGTACCTTTCACAAGCAGAACCTGGCTGTTGAAATATGTTTTCTTCCCAAAGAATGGGATAGAGGATGTCCGCTTGATATGTTTTTAAGTTGAAGTTTTGGATGTTTGTTATAGGTAGCTACAATAGCCTTAAATCCGTCCGTGTATTTCACATAAGCAAACATCCTGGCTGACAGATGTTTCGGGCCGAACGGATTACTTTTACACATTCTTGGCCTCACGCGCTACCTATTTCTTTTGCGCACGAGACACTGCTCTGGAATCTTGAATTCTAGAATGTTCTTCTAAGAGCTGTCATTACAGCATGAAGCGATGTCAATCATCTTATTATGTAATGCAGTGGCGGCTGGTGCATTTTTCTCCAGGGGGGAACCAAAATGTAAGCAAACTTATACACAAACTCATATTACAACGCAGGGCTAGCTCAAAGGCACACAGCACTTGATACAGTCTATTATTTTAGTGCCTGTTTTTGTCAACCTCCTTATTATGCTTAGGCTACTGAGTGATCCCTATCCTGTACCCTCATTGGACAGCTGTGTTTACTTTCCTAAACATGGCTAGTCGCATAGCATCATCCATGTGGACTCTAGTTTGTTCATGCTTTTAGTTTTTTCTGATATGTGCTTTAAGTCACTCACATCTGTCTGGATCCATGCTGGGTCTGGTCCATAGACTGGTCTGATCCTGACGTTTGAAAAAGGGAGGCAGGGGAACATAAAATATAGCACTGGTGTTGCTGCAGGTAGTTAGCCTTCTTGCTAAACCAGCTCCTTGAAAAAGAGCGTGTACTGCCTTCCTCTGTACAACTCCTGCCCTGTCTATGTCAGGCTGATCAGGTCCGAGCTCTTTTACTCTCAGCTTTCCCTCCAGTGTCCTCGTCTCAAAAGGGTGTTTCTTTAAGTGATTAAACATAACTTTCCTTCTCCATATTTGCTATCTAGTTTTGTTTACTCTCCGTCTACTCTCTCTCATTCAAACGTCAATCACTCACTCTGGCGCTTCTGCTGCCCCCTAGTTGTTGGCGGTGTCCAACAGCTGCTCATATCTGTTGTTCTGTACGTTATAACGTAGCCTAAAGAACAACAGATAGGAGCAACAGATATCAAACTCAATAGAAATAACTTATTTCTATTGAGTTTGATTACTCTGAATCAAAAGTAGCCCTTGAAATGTGTTTAAACAGAAACCTGTGTTACAGTGGAAAGCCTATATCCTATACAGCCTAATACAAAGGCCTATACTATAGGCCTGTGTACTATACAATGCTGCTTGTTAGAAAAATAAAAATGTATAATACACAATATTCAGACACAAAATATACACAGCTTATATTATAAGATTTGCTGCATTGCCAATACATTATTTTCTAAAGCTGTCTGCTATTTTTCCATGTGCTAACTTCCAATATTTTCGTGGGATTCTGTATCAGAATCTAACATTTCTTGAAAAGAGAGGTTTCACTTAATGGTGATAGTTTTCTTTGTGATGCAGTTGATGAAAGTATAATCTTAAATAAGAAGCCTCGTTTATATAAAAATATTCTCGAAAATATGTTATGATCAATAAACATGATTTTACTGTTTAGATGCCAAAACGAAGCTACAAAGGCTACCTGGAGCCTTGCAACAGCTTTAAAATACCTAGAACCACACATATAACTAATATTCAAGAGGCAGTAATTGAGGTATGTATCCCTGGAATATGTATGGCATGATTATAAAATGGCTAACCTTTTAAATTGTGTTGTTTCTTATTTACCCGTTTAGACCCAATGACAGCAGTGTTTTTATTGTCCTCAAATAATCGGTGTGTTGACGATTTACATTTTAATGTTGATGTAAAAAGTGAGCACGGAGTCTCTTTTCAACTTAAAGGTGGGGTAGGTAAGTTTGAGAAACCGGCTCGAGATACCCTTTTTGTTATATTCCATGGAATGCTCTTAACATCCCGATAGTAATGAATATCTTAAGTGCTTTGACAAAAATATATTTTCAAATTCTAGCGCACTCGAGCTGGTTTCTCCAAAATTACCTTTAAGTATAACTCACAACTTTTGGAAAAAAAGTAACTAACATATTTCACCTCTTTTAAACATTGTGTGAACCAAACAACTAACACTAATGGAATAAAAACAGTACAGTACAATTACTTGACTTCATATGATGTGTACAATGATGATCCTTTTCTTTACATTTCTGTAATCTCTCACAGCCAAGAGTGAGTTTTTCAACACGTTTGTTTTTTATGTCCTCACTCACTCAGGGCACCGCTGTCTCAGGTGACTACCTTCCTCTCGCGGATGCAGCGACCTCAGATGCAGCTCTCTCGGATGATGACTCAACTCTCTCAGATGCAGCTCTCTCGGATGATGACTCAGCTCTCTCAGATGCAGCTCTCTCAGATGCAGCTCTCTCAGATGATGACTCAGCTCTCTCAGATGCAGCTCTCTCGGATGCAGCTCTCTCAGATGATGACTCAGCTCTCTCGGATGATGACTCAGCTCTCTCAGATGCTCTCTCAGATGCTCTCTCAGATGCAGCTCTCTCGGATGATGACTCAGCTCTCTCAGATGCAGCGCACTCGGATGCAGCTCTCTCTGACGCAGCTCTCTCGGATGCAGCTCTCTCAGATGATGACTCAGCGCTCTCGGATGATGACTCAGCTCTCTCAGAGGAACAAGAATCTCTCTCAGATGACAGTGACTCAGACTCTAGTGTGGGTAATCCATTTGGGATGTTAGGGAAAGATCCTGATATGGACTCCAAGCTAACTGCAACAAGTACTACAACCAGGGCTGAAGCACTAATCATGATTATGAGCCATGCTGCTCGACATAATATTACAGGTTCTCAGCTCAGTGATTTGCTCAAACTCATTAATCAGCTGTTTGGAAAAGATGTTGTCCCCAGATCTAAACATTCTTTTAACAAGATCTTTAAGAATAATTCAGAGATGGTAGCATTTCATTTTTATTGCGACAAATGTAAAGCAAACATTGGCACAAAGGAAGAAATACAAGATAACAATATAACAATGTGTGCAGAGTGCCTAGTCCCAGTTGTGGTCAGTACCCTTAACAGTGCAAGGTTTTTCATCAATGTACCAGTTGCTCCTCAAATACAGCGCCTGCTTGAAAATCCAGAGGTAAACAATGAGTTGAGCTACAGGTTTGATCGCCCATGCAATGGAGACAGAGTCATTTCAGACATTTATGATGGTGAATCCTACAAAAAATTGTCAGCAGCTGGTCAGATTTTATCGGATGTTAATAATTTCTCATATAATTTTAACTCTGATGGTTCACCTGTGTTCAAGTCCTCAAAGTTTTCGATTTGGCCCATTCAGCTTCACCTGAATGAACTTCCACCAAAAATGCGATTCAAACACATTATTCTGGCTGGTTTATGGTTTGGTTCAAGTGAGCCTTGCATGCATGTTTTTCTTAAACCTTTTGTTGATCAGTCAAAGTTACTTGTATCCAAAGGAGTGTCTTGGAAAAAAAATGGAATGCAGGTCAATAGCAAAGTTATAGGTGTCTGTTGTTGTGTTGACTCAAAGGCAAGACCCACCATGCAGAACACAAAACAATTCAATGGTTACTTTGGCTGTGGCTTTTGCCTCCACCCTGGTAACCTTGTGGAATGTCAAGTAAAGTACACAATGTGTGAAAATCCAAACAGTGACAGAGATGCAGAAGGAATGTTGGCTGATATGGAGTTGGTATTAATTGAACAAAAAAGTATCCGGGGTGTCAAAGGCCCATCTCCCTTGATCAACATGCCACAATTTGATATTGCGTGGGGTTTTGTGCCTGATTATATGCATGCTGTGTTATTAGGTGTTGTCAGACAAGTGACAGAACTCATGCTAGAGGGCACCAATCAGCCATATTACATTGGCAGACCTGCAACATTGAGGGTTATTGAAAACCGAATCAGATGCATTCAGCCACCACATCTGATCACTCGGTTACCTAGACCATTGAGTGAGCGCAAATTCTGGAAAGCCTCTGAATGGCGGGCGTGGCTATTGTTTTATTGCTTGCCCTGCCTTGAAGGTGTACTAGATGGTGGCTACACCAAACACCTTTGCCTGCTCGTTACTGCTGTTTTTCTCCTTTTGAAGGACAAGATTCACTTTGATGACGTGAACAAAGCAGATGTAATGCTCCTTGAGTTTGTTGTGAAGTGTCAGTCTTTGTATGGGGAGAGTGCAATGACATTCAATATGCATCTCCTGACTCATCTGGCTAAGTCTGTGAAACTGTGGGGTCCATTGTGGGCACACTCCGCTTTTGTGTTTGAGAATGGAAATGGAAATCTCCTTAAAATGGTGCATGGAACCAAATGTGTTGCTCTTCAAGTGGTCAACAAGTTCCTGCTGCACAGAGCTGTACCACATTTCTCAAAGCAGTATGCAGTCAGTGACCGTGTCCTTGCATTTTGTCAGGAGATCAATAGCTATTCAAAAGTACAGAAATGTATACGCTACCAGGACACAACAGTTTTGGATGATGGAAAGATCAAACACCTCACACAACACGAAAGGAATGCCTTCCTCACAGCATTGATAGAACCACCTATTACAATTCTTCTTCACAACAGAATGACACACAAGGGTTTGGTCTACACAAGTAAAAACTATAGCCGCGCCAAAAGACGCAATGATTATTGTGTAAGTCTGACAGATGGATGCTCTGGGGAGATCGAGCAGATAATATCATTTAGCTCAGAAGCAGGAGCAGAAATTGCCATGTTCTTCAAACCTTTTGACACACAGACTAGGTCCTTCCCCCTTCCACAGGGTTATGGTTTTGTGCCTCATATTTTTAGGGTAAATGAAGGTACATCCTTGATCCACTTGGTTCGAGTTGATGATCTTGAACAAAAATGTCTCCCTGTGAAGTCCGCTGATGGAATGTATACATGCAACTTCCCAAACCTGTATGAGAGGGATTAAAATGCAAAATTAGTAATGAGCCGTCATTATGGTAAAACTGTTTGGGATCTCTCTTTCCCCTGTACTAATTTTCTCCTTTTTGATGTTGTTTAATTGTTCCTTTTTTTGAAGGGGCCCTAATGTGCTAATTTCTTGTTAATATTGTTTACACAATAACCTATATAACACACTACAGGAAATAAAAAACCCAAAACGAACCACTCTCAATGAGACACTAAATACAAATGATCCTGAAAATTAGCAAATTGTGTCCTTTTTAAGTAATTGTTGTATCATTCATAACACTCTGCGATTAATCACAATGTGGCCACCTGTCGTCCACTAGTGACATTTAAATTCAAACGAACAGTCTTATTTATAGAGCTTTGTATACTACTGAGTTTGTATGTTATGTCTCTTAAATAAATGGAATGGAAACATGCAAACAGGGTTTTGCATTGAAGCAATTGGATGGAAAATATATGTTTTTTCTTAACAACAGAGCTGGAAATGGAAGCAATACAAATATTACTTTAATGTTAATATGTGTTGCTTGTGTTCTGATGCATTTCACAATGCATGACATGTTTTTTTACTAGCATCATCAAAACTGAACTGAAAATATGTATTGTTTGTTTGTACATTTATATTAATGGAAATAATGGTATG